CCCCCCCCCCCCCCCCCCCCCCCCCCGGGCCACTGCTGCCGCCTTGTAGAGTACCCCGTACCAAGTCCTCTGGCGACACTGTTGATCGCATCGTCCGTATCTCTATATGCGACCATACCACTCTCAAGGCCTGCGAAGAGCAGTTCGATGACCCCGTATTGGTTTCCAATTTGGCGGCCCGTATGACCTGACCCGTTGAGTACCCTGTTGATTTTCAACTTCAAGGTGTTCGTGGACTCAATGGACTTGACGCCGGAGACAAATTCCTTTGCGGGCATCGATGGAGGTACCGCCCAAGTAACCTATTCCGGTGTAGTACGTGAGATTCTCTCCCCATGAACGGTGTTGCGCGTAGGATTCCTCAGGGAAGAGATACTTCGGGGGAGGTAGGGAGATTGTATAGGGTTTGTATCGTGACCTGCAAGTCTTGATACGGATTGTAAAGTCGAGGAGTTGAATCGTTTTCATGGTCGCTGCCTTCATTTGGAGCACGAGGTTGTTCTCATTGGAGGATTATCGGGTGCCCGAATAGACGGATCGGGGCTCCGAGGAAGATGTGGCGATTATTTCTGGAGAGGGGAATGGGGGAGCCTTAGGTTTAGTGTCGATGGCGGGGGGGAATAAATATCGAAGGGGTCTTGGAATTGGTTTGTTATGTCCAGATTTACTCGATAATTCATCCGATGACTTCACAGTAACCAAAGAAGCCCCAAGAAAATGAGAGACATATTTGTTCATTTTTTGCTTTATTTAAAAGTTTGAGAAGCAATGAAGTCTTTTTACTCCTCTTAACAGGTCTTTTTGACGAAAACCTTCGTCAAAGAGAAAATGTGCTAATTATTATAATGTTGGTGACAAAAATATGTCGAAAAAAAAAAAAGAGACGTGAGTACAAAATAAACAAATATTAAACTCTTAACGTAATTAAAAATTAGGAAAATAGAAAAAAAGAAAAAGAAAATATAACCGCTCAAAGTATATTGAAGATGGCCATCAAGTGACTGAAATGCCCTTTTCTTCACACGATTCATTTTCGGGTAAATTATAGTATTGGTCACTGAACTTTACCCCAAGTTATCATTAACTCAATGAACTTCATAATGTAACCCATTGCTCGTTATGCTTTACATTGTATCCATCATCACTGAAATAAATTTTGGCCCTTTACTTTGACGAAAATGCACATGTAGCTCACAAAATCCTAATGTGACAACCATTCCACGTCAAAATATTCGGATACTCTTTAAAAATGAAATGTTATATATTTTAAATACTTTTTATTTAACATTTTAAAATAAAAAGTAAATTTAACTCTCTACATTTGACGAATCAAATATATTCTCATTTATATTTTGTCATTATTGGATGTAATAAAACTTTCATATATATTGAATTTTTATTTATTAACACACATATTTATAGCAATTAGCGACGTCCCGATAATAGCGTAAGCTTTTAGCAAGCAACTAAGCAGAATTTCGGTTTTCCAGCTTGGCCCTTTCATCGAAGAGTGATTTTTCTTTTCACATGCAAATGTGGCAATGGGTTGCAATGAGTACCCTAAAAGTACTCGAACGAAAGAAGGTATGTCTCTTCTGTTCCTTTCCCTTTTGTTCTACGCCCTGTAAGGGCAGAACTTTGCCCTGCCAGGCAAGGCAATTGAGATAAAGCTCATCATTCTCTGGAAGCAGTCTACACATTGAAAGGGGGGAGATCTTTTAGAATTACATTTTCTTTCTCGAAAAGAAGAGGTTTAAAGTTTAAGCCTAATCAATTTCAGTTCTTGTTGAAGGGGAGAGAATCTTATCTTATCAAGAAAATGTTATAATAGTAAGAAAGCAGACTATAGTGAAGAGTTTTACTTTTATAATTAGAGTTGGTAGTTGACTTCCATTCCTATGCTTCGGTTTAGTTACTATCTCCCTAACCCCTCAATTATAGTTTTAGCGTGAAAAAGGGTGGAAGGTGAAATCAAGCATTACACGGTCCCAACACTTTTACTAGTGGGAGATGACTTGCGAGTCCCAGCCCAGCCTTTTTCTTTTGAGATTCACTCATTCAATTCGTAAATGGAAAGTGACGTACCTCTCCTAAAAAAATACACTGCATGCTAAGTTGAATGGATTTCTTTTATATATATATATTGAAGTTAAAGGAAAAATAATAAATAATTTTTGGAAAAAATAAAACACAGAACAAAAAATAAAGTTTGTTATAACATATAAAAAATTTTCCTCTTCAAATTTAAAGACATTTTCTATTATGATCAAGACGCTCCTTAAAAAGTCTTTTGAAGATTCCTTTACGACCCTTGTAACTTTTTGTTCTGTATTTTGCTATGACATGTGAAATCCATTGTTATTTTTCTTATTAAAGTTAATTAAACATCAGAAGTATTTAACAAAATAACATTCAAATTTCTAGCCGCCACAGATTATTGAATCATTCTCAATGTTCTCCTGCACTAACATAATTGGTACATGCGACATGACAAGATTAAAGAAGAGAGACACCGTAACAAAATTTGAGTGGTGTCCAGTCTAATTACATTGACATTAAACGCTAGAATGGACAAATTATTAATAGCCCACATGTTTCCCTTCCTTTACATTATGGTTACCCCCCCTCTCTCTCTTCAAACCACAAATCACTTCAGCAGCAAAAAGAGAAAGTTAGAACCCTTCTATTTCTTCATCTAAAGTACGAGATGCTACTATTTCTATGTTCATGCATATACTATTTATCTACACTTTTTGAGCTTTAGAGGTTGCTAAATGTTTGACAAAATATTATAAAGCCTTAATGAGGGGAGGAAACTGAGAAGTGCATGGTAAGAAATAGAAAATTTGAGCCAGGGTGGTATTAGTAAAAAGCTTGCCGTGAGTCCTCAAGCCGTCGCTAGTTAGTTTTCCGGGCCCCATGAAGAGTTAATCTGGGGTTCCAAGTCTTGCAAATCTGCTGATGGTACTTTCAGATGCATATTTGCTATGATTTTCCATTTGCACCTCAGAATAGGTGATTCTGGTTTCCTGCTTGAAAGAAAAGGACAGCTTAACATTGTGTTACATACACAAAAAGATTTCATTCATTGCTACATTCGCACATGTTGTGCTGTAGGAAAGATTTAATAGTACTTGACAGTATTAGGGAACAAAAAGATGATGTATTGAATTCTTGTTTATCATTTATCATACCACAAAATCTTGTCTAGTACTACGTAACGAACAAACAGGAAAAGTACAGAGGAAACTGGTCACGTACCTGGCTTAAAGCTAAGCTTTTTGAAAATGTGGATATTGCAGATTCATAGGGTTGAATCCATCTTTGGCTTCATTTTCTAATCCGAGTTCTCTCAGTCGTTCAAGTTCTGGCAATATCACTGAATCGAGTTCTGGCCTGTCCCTCTTCCTCAGTTCACAACACTTCAAAGCCAATTTAGCCAATGATAAAGCCTCCTCAACTGGCCAATCTTTCACCATTTGATCGAGTATCTCTGTAAACTGCCCTTTCACAATAGCCCGCTCAACAATATAGGCCAGACCCATAGCAGGCTTGGCAGTGATCATTTGCAACAAAATTATACCAAAAGAATAAATATCCGATTTTGTTCCTAACATTCCAGTCTGTTGATACTCAGGGTCAATGTAACAGAATGTGCCCACTGCTGCTGTCATATGATACTGGGTAAGATTGTCGGCCAAAGATGAGGGAACTAACCTAGATAGGCCAACGTCACTTATCTTGCTCACGTAGTTACGATCCAATAAAATGTTGCCAGGTTTGAGGTCGCAATGCACAAGGGGATTTGGTCTTGTCTGATGGAGGAAGAGGAGGGCTGTAGCAATTTCAGCAGCTATTCTGAAACGGGTGCTCCATGGAATAGGTGGAGTGTCATTCTTAAGACATAGCCTGTCTTCTAAGCTTCCATTTTCCATGTACTCGTATACAAGGCAACAAAACTCGGGGCAGGCGCCCAAAAGGATTACCAAATTTGGATGCCTTAGGTGGCTCAACACCTCAAGCTACAGCATGAAAATACTAGAACAATTAGAAGATTGAATCGGCAAGTGCAATCGTGAGACACTACCAACTGAAAATTTCTGTTTTCCCGTTTTTTGATTAACGTTTAATCTTCTTTTTACTTTTTTTTTTATTTTTATTAATTTATGATTTGTATGATGCTCAAACAGCAAGGGTAACCTATTTAGGGCTACCTGCAATCCCAAAAAAAAAAATCTTGGAAATCTAAGGAGAATCAAATCACTGCTTTCTGACAATAAAAAAATAAAAAATAAAAAATAAATAAATAATTTGGTTGAGATAATGTACAGATTGTTTAAAGTTAACCAGGTGAAAAATATGTAGTCCTAAACCTGACCTAAACCAAGAAATTTTAGTTTTAAAATGACATTTGAATCATAAAGATAGAATTGGCATAGAGTACCTCTCTCTGAAATTGTTTTTGTCCTTGTGATAAGTCCGGCCTCAAAACCTTAATGGCAACAGATGTATGATCAAGAGTTGCTTTAAAGACAGACCCATATCCACCTTCACCTATCTTTCCTGAACTGGAGAAGCAATTAGTTGCAACTTCAATTTCGTCAATTAGGTATTTTCTATATCTAACTTCAATTCGTGACAATGCTTCCATTGCTTTCTGCTTCTCTTGAGCCTCCAACTTAAACTTTAGTTCTGCACGTTTTCGCTTTTCAGACTCCATTTCTGCGATCTGTTGAGCCTTATTTGCTGCTTCAACAGCTTCCTTGCACTTTTGCTTCTCCCTCTCTACTATAGCCAATGCAACCTCCTGCGCATGCTTGACTTCTTCTAACTTGTGTGCGTGCTCTGACTTCCATTGACCAATCTCTCTTACCTGGGATATAATATAATATTCCAATTGGAGTTAGGAGAAATACAAGCAGACAGCAAGTTGAAGTTGTCATGTTACCTTTTCCCTTGCAGTTACTGCTTCTTTACAAGCAGCATTGTAAAGCAGTGTGATTTGCTTCAGTTCAAATCTCAATCTCTTTAATTCATTCTCTAATTCTCCCTGACACGCATTATAGGCATTAGAGCTAGTTCATATGACAGTCAAAAGAAGACAAGTCTAGACTTTAGTCTGTGCATAAAGCAAACTATCATGGGAAACCAAAGATATTAACAGCAAAATTTTTCTAAATATTTCTCACAGTACAGCTTAAAGCTAATTAGGGCAAAAATTTCAACACACACAATTTTAGGTTATTGTAGAAACCACATCATATGCTAAAATAAAATCAGGATTGTTTAAAATATAATTGGATACTTGGCCACACATGAAACTAATTAGGTCACTTCTTCAAGTAAATTATCAGATAGTGGAATTTCAAAGTCTAAGCACATACTCATGTACATATGCTTATCTTGCAGCTTTGGCCACAAAATCAGACCCAACATCTGATCAATTCATATTTTGCAAAGTCGTGTGTTCTGTATAAACATATTCAATTCATGAAGATAAATTATACAATGACGAGAGGCCAATGAGTATTAGAATGACTTTAGATTATTGTGGGTGGAGGGGCAGAAAGAAGAGTGCCATAACTTGCTATTCTAAAATTTAACAGCTAACCTGCCTAATGAGTTATAAATTTCAGGATCACTCATTCTTTATTAGGCCCTAAAAACCAAGAACTATTTGAACTCACCGCTGCTTGGGAGGAGGTGGAGATCCTAGTGGCATCAGAAGTGCGGGGCTGGTCTAAAGGTTCAAATGATATATTGGATGACTGGAAACTCATCAAATCTGAAAGATCACTAGAGGAAGATACAGACTGAAATAAATTCTCTTTAGTGCGAAGATGAAGATTGAGATTGTTCATTTGTGGAGTGTTTTGCATAGATTCAAAGCTGGTGTCCGCCAAATTTGGAGGTGAAGGATTTTTACTGCCATAACGCCTTTCCCATGGAGACATTTGCAGAAATTCACTGCTATTGGTCACTGATAGAAGGGGAGATGAATTCTCGCTAACATAATGCATGTCATGAGCAGATTCAAAGTTGGCGTATGCCAAATATGGAGGAGTAGGATTTTTACTCCCATAACGTCTTTCCAATGGAGACATTTGCAGAACTCCACTGCTATTGGTCCCTGATTGAAAGACATATGAGTTCTTGCTAACAGAATGCATATCATGAGTAGTGTCTATCGACATTCTCTGGCTGCCTTCATCAGTTGATGATCTCTCAGATGCAGCAGATCTCCAACTACCAACACTGAAAGTTATGGGTTAGAATCATGAAACAAAAACTCGGAAAATAGCTTGTTGACATGCACACATGCTGTGAAAGAAGTGACACTTCAAGAAAATACTATGCAGTAAGGTAGAGAAGTTCTTAAAGGAATTGTCCAAAATAACATAAAAAGAAAACTCTCTCTCTTAAGCTGACAGATCATTGTCATGTCTCTATTTTAAGCTTTTAGATGAGGGGTCAAATTTATTCATTTAAAATTTGTTTTCAACACGCCCTTCATGTGCAGGTAAGATTAATTTTTTTATCAGAAGCCTAACACGTGCGCGGTTTTCTAGAAACGGGTGGTAGTGAGACTTATCCAGGTCCTTTTCTTGTTTTGAACCAATTTGAACATTCTCATCTAAAAGCTTCAGTTGTAAGAGGGAGACGTATTATTTATGTAATTATGGCTTCAATAGTCTCAAACTAGGAATAGGTATGATATTGTGCACTTCAAAATAGCAGGGCCATGAATTCCTTGAGTTACCTAAAAATATCTGCAGAGCTGGCCGTATCTGGCGAGAATCCAGTATGAGGTGATTGCCTTATGGTATTGGGCGAAACAGATTTAATTTTCAGAACTCTTGTCTTCGATACGGTATATACTGAACAGGAATTGGGTGCAGATTTTCCTAAAGAACTTGGCACATCTAGGTTTCTAAATGCCCTGAAAATAAAAAATAAAAAACTTTTATGGATGGAAAAAATAGTCAAGCAAGTAGAAATAGTTCCATACAAACTGTAAGAATAGTTCTGTTAAAAGGGAAACAGTAAAGGTAGGTTCAAGTTCCCATTTAATGGACACTACTTTTGTTATTCACCTCTTGATTCCTGATCATATATCAGGTGACTTCCCAGTTAAGTAATTCAATAAACACGGTGAGGGAGGGTGCAATGAAAGTTACACGATAAGGACATGATTTCGGTTCCGCTCGTTAAGATACTTGTTTTGTTTGGCCACTTGAAGATGGAAGCTTTATAACTAATTGATCAAGAGAGAAGGATGAACGAAGCATACCTTTTTATGTAACTCCGGCTTGAAGCACCAAGAACAATGGTGGTGATGGAATTATCAATTATATACTCAGTGAGTGCAGTTGCAACATCAGCCTCAAGGAGAATCACTTCCTTAGCATGGATCTGAAGTGATTACAATCAGCAATCAAGTATTGGTCATGTATGTGAAAAATAGTAGAGTTTCCATAGAAGATATTCATATGAGAGCTTGCCCAAGCTTTAAAAGTTTATTTAGTTTTAAAATGAAATACATTATCTGTTGTTCAGTGTTGGAATTTGTAAACAAATAAGACTTAAGAGTTGCTTCCAAAGTTAGTAATTTGCTTACGTAATGTAAGAAAAACATAACAATCTAAATAATTTTGGAAAGAAGAGGTTATGTGAGAGTAATTTACTTTTTATATAGCCCAACATTCACCCAACATTATAAAGACTACTTTGAAAGTTAAGTGAACATAAATCTATATTTAACCAAGCCAATTCAGAAGATTTAGTTCTAGTCCCTAATGTTCGTGTTTCAAGTGAGCTGAACATTCGGTGCACTAGCTTTCAAAAAATTGTTGTGATTAAGTTGCAATCGTCAAATTCTCAATATAAGAAGCTAATGGAGCCTTCATTTTATTGACCATTAAATATTGGTGCCATAACAAATAAGCATTTATTAGAGCATCTTCAAGAGACTCACTATTTTTAAAGAGTATATTCTATCATTTGAAGAGCATCTATAAATTTAAAGAGTTAAAATTTTAAAGTACCCCAACTAGCTCTTTATATTTAACACTTAATTTTACTACTCTAAAAAAATATTTATTATTTTTCTCTATCTTTTATTTTAACTAGCTTTTCTTTAGATTATTTTATTATTTTCCTATATTGAAAATCGAAATACTTTGAATGGATTTAATTATAGAGCCAAACCCACTCTATAAATTAAAATGTTAATTTAAAGAGTCTCTTGGAACATGATTTTAAAGGTTGGCTCTTTAAAATAGAGAACATCTCATATTTAAAGAGTCTCTTGAAGATGCTTTTAATCTCTATAAAGTATGTTTAGCAAGGTGGGTTGGCTAGTAATTAACACTGTTGAGGAAAAAAATAATCCATAATCATGTTTATTGTATAGTCTTGTCTAGAATTGTGTGCCAACCATGTACATAGAATATGTATGTTTTCATTCCAGCATCCTGCTTTAGGCAAAAGATCGGAATAGACTTATGGTGCATATGTCAAACAAATTTAAGTTCTTCATTGTTGCACTATAAAATTAAATGCAAATATGGTATAAACTGTGAATAAATTTTGGATTACCCTCTTTCGAGCACAAAGCCCACGGTAGGGAAGGAAGAACTGTGGAATTTCAGCCAGAGTAGGTGAACTACCTACTTTAGGGACGGCACCTTCTGCAGCTGCATTAGACAACAAATTTCAATACTCTCATAAAAATTAATTAAAATTTAAACGCAAGCAAAAATAATATCCATGACACTGGAATTTAGAAGTCATTTCCTAATGTAAATCAATAACAAAATGAAACCAACACAACATTCTCAAAAGATCAATCTGAATTTTAACAGGACTTGCTTCTTATTTGCTTCTGTTCGTATTGAGGCCCCTAATTTAATCCAAAAATACTCATCCATGCTGTTTTATGAATCACATTCCTAGGATATAATTTTTAATGACGTAGTTTTTCCCTCTCAACAGAGAATATAACATTATGAGAAGATTTCTTAACAATTAACATGAATACGGATTGAAATTCTAAGCCCTCATTCACACTTCCTCATCAAATCCAATGAAGTGCACTCGCTTCCAACACATTCTATCAATATTCATGATTCATTGCTTGAACGAAAAAAGGAAAAAAATAATTGCATGGATGGTTTTATAATATTCGTCGTCGACAATTTTTGACACTATAATTACCATGAAATGTACTGGCAAAACACAATAATCTTCAAATTCAATGTAAAGGAAGAAGAACAAGATACCTACCGGATCGCAAATTTTGTGGGATTGAAACATGGATAAGGATAATTTGATTATCCTTCAACGGTAAATTATCAAGGGTCCATTTGAGGGCAAATTGACTGTTCTTGTCTCTATCAATAGCTACGGCGGTGGTAATGATGCCTTCGTGCTGAGAATCTGGGTAATTCTCCATTTTTCATCACGAGACAATGGTTGCGCACGGCGGATGCACTAGGTAGCGGCACTACCAGCACGGTGGTTGCTGGCTTGGCGCTACCGGAACAACTCAACCATGCGCAAAAGGAATGGGAAAATGATTCAAATTTCTTGCTTTGCATTTTAGTCCTATTTTTGGGGACAATTGTATGTCAAATTTCTCCTGTTAGGTGAGTTAATCTCCACCTCTCTTTTTAATATACTAGTTCCTGGCCATGCAATGCATGGCTTGAATTTTGTTTAAGGTGATATTAGTGTGGTGGTTTATATTAGTATTGAATTTTTATTGTAATTCACTATTTTTAGCTTGTTTTATTTACTATGCTCTAATAAAGATTTTCATGTAGAATTTTTTTTGAGCTGTTTAGATGAAAAATAGTAGTTATTCTTTTCAATAGGCAAATTCGCAGTAATAATTTTGTTTTGTGCGTGAAATAGGTTTTTTAATTGTATATGAAAACTTGGTTATTATTATTTTCTGCAAATTATGTGAAACGTTTGTGCTGTAATTATTCTCAAAGTTTATGACATTTTCAAATGAGTAGCAAAAATAAGTGCAGCAGCATATCTGTTCATAAATATATTAGAAAGTTATATTTAAGGTATAAAATGAGAAGTATAAATATGGATTTGCTTTTATTTGTCCTAAATGAGTTGGTAAGAAGTATTTCTCTACTATTTCATTTAAAGTAGTTAATAAATAAATTATACTATTATAGATTATTTAACTTAATCTTATAAACATATAGACTGCTAAAGAAATTACTATGAGGGTTGATAAAAATTCTATAAAAATTCATATGATCAATTTTTTCAATCGTTTTATTGAATAATGATAATACATTTAACGAATATATAAATTATTTGCATAATGATTGTATTTAAAACACGTTGAATTAAACTTGTATAGAAAGAAAATTGAAATACAAATGGGATTATAATGATCACTTTCAAAAGTTGAATTAAGCTTGTAGAGAAAGAAAATTGAAATACAAATGAGATTATAATGATCACTTTCAAAAGTTAACAGCGTTATTACAAAAGGAAGAAAATGAAACATTGATAAGAAATTGTTAAAACGGCAATTCTTTGATATACTTGATATTTGAATACATGATACTTACATGATGGGTGATGAAAAGCTTTTTCTTCTTGGTTTCAACATCAATCATGATAGGGCATACCTATTAAAGCAAGAGAAAAGCTATTAGTAGAAGTAGAAAGAAACAAGACTAAAGTATATGTAGAAAAAATTGAGATTGAATTAATTAATGAATATAGACATTTATTTTGGTAATGCTTTTACCTTATTATAACTTTTGCTTTACATGATGGGGACATTATAAAAAAAAAAAAGTTACCTTCTTTGTTATGGTTATGATAAATATGGACGGAAAAAATATTCATTTTGACAGATATCTGTGACAATTTTTCGTCTGTATAAACGTATTTTCTCAATTGAAACTGCTTCTAATGGATATCCGAAAATGAAGCATTCAATGTATTTGAGAAGAAGAACTCCAGAGTTTGGCCTACAGAAAAAATAGTTTGAAGTTATTTTATAGTAATGCTATAAATGTAAAATAAAATTGAATAGAAAAATAAATATTAAAGTAAATTGTTGAGATACTTACCCATTATTTTGACAAGGTAGATACGGTATGATTTTCAATTTCATACGTTTATTTCTATGTTTTCGTAAATTTGGCTTCCCGAAGAAAATGTCAGTAGCTATTAATAATGATTGTACTATATCCAAAAATGGGGCTGCACGTAACTTGATTGCATCTGGTGTATGAATGTTGTGGCTGCAATCATATACTTGAAATTTCCACTTTTCAAAATCAACAAGAAAAATAAACCAACTGTTGCCTGGATATGCGACTGGAATCAATAAATAGTTGTATGTTATCCAGGGTCGAGCAAATGTAGGTAATTCTCCTTTTGTGTATTGCTCTAATGCCTGGAAATTATTCACAGAAGCGGTTGCTCCTTGTTTGATCGTTGTGTACCAATGAACACATTCATTCTCGAATCGAAAGTCCATGATTGCATATTCTTTTGAAACCGGGGAAGATGTATCATGAATGAGTCTTCGCAACAGCTTTAATTTTATATCAATATGCTAGTAAAAAAAATTTAAATTAGCTATATTAATAACGAAGTAAAATTAATTAAGATTGCTAAAGTTGACTTACCACAATATTTATATCTTTAATTTGATTTATTATATTTATCAGCGAATGTCTTGCGTATTGATTGTCGATTTCATCTTTCCAGTATGCACTATATAAGAAAAAATGAAATTGTTATTAAATAAGTAAAATACGAAATAGAATATTTAAGTTAACGAAGTTAAATTTAATATCTTACTCTGATGGATTTTCTGATATCCATTCTCTAATGTTTTTGTATTTGTCGATGTTATAATCTTCTAAAGTATTCGTTGCCATTGGTGATGGAGATTGTGTCTCTTTTTGCTTACCTTTTTTTTCTTTTGTTGATCTTTCGACGTCTTCTGCATGTTCAGATGTTGAAGGCATTTCAAATTCAGCTTAATTTGTTGGAGGGGGCAAATCATGTTGTACAGGCTACAACTGATTCCATATGTGATTTCCAGTTGGTTAACTGATTCTGCATATTTCGATTTTGTTCATCAATGTAAGACTTCATTAAACCGAAACTGGTATCCACATAAGAATGCATGTCAGATTGTATGCCCTGAAAATGTTCCTGTTGATTTTTTTGCTGCACTTCGAAAAATTGTTTTTGATTATCAAGAAGTGTCTGACAGAGAGTTTGTTGATTTTCAAGAATCGTATGATACTGAGCTTCTTGCTTTGTTGCTTCTTGAATCATCTGTGTTTTCAAGCTGTCGTAGAAACCAAAGACATCTTGTCTATGTACATTGAACATCTGTTCCATATCTTGTTTAGTTACATAGTCTGAAGTACCAGAAGAAGTAGATTCAATTCTATTTGAACTGTGTACAGTTGTTTCTTGTGGATGTATGTTATATACTCGAATTTGTTCTATTGTATTTTCCAATTCACCATTGACAATGCTATCTAGTGTACAATGTTGGTTGTCAATTGGCAGTGAAAGAGTTGTATACCAGAATGTTTCCAATTCTGCTTCAGTAGGATTTAACGTTGCAATTACTGTAATCTATAATTGTAATATTGTATAAAATATCAGACGTATTCTCTAAAATTTATTTATAAAGAATAAAACATATATTTAATTGTATACTGAAATGAACATACCTCTTCAGTAGCTAAAAATTCTTTAGTAACATTTTCCGCTAATACCATTTGAGGCTGTCATTTATGCATTCGTGGACATTTTAAACTTGTACGGATACGATGACCAAATTGTCGTCCAATTTTAGGAAAAGTTTCGTATATCCAATACTGAAATATAAGTAAAAAGGAATATTAACATTTTTACATGATTAAATTATATCGAATAGGGAATAAATGTAAGAAAAATACCTGGAATACAAGTGGATAACCATGCAATGAATATTTACATTCTGCTTGGTTATTTTGTTGCATTCTTCGTATTTTTTCAAGCTGTGATTCTTGTAATGAATGTAATAGAACAAAATATGCCTTACGTCCCCATGGATACGTAAGAAATTCATCAAGCTGTTCAACCATTCCAAGAGTTCTGTAATCGATGTGTCTTCCAGTTGGTTTTAAAACACATTCGACAAACATAACTAATCCCAACTTAAATTTATCTTTTCGGTCTTCACATATATGAAATACTTCAGAAAGTCTTATCATAGTTATTCGTTTTGAACCATCGAAGTATTCATCTCTAAGTCGAGTATTACTAAAATTTAGATCAACAGTAGGTTCATGACATGGCAATCCAGTTATGAGACAAAATTCTTGTAGGCCAAAACGAGCTACATGATCGTCTAGTTGTACCCAAACTTCGTTATTTTTACCACAGTTTATAAGTCTCATTATTAACTCATGTGTTAACTTGCTGCTAAATTTGTCGTTTTGCTTCTTATTCATATTTCCACAAATGAATCCATGGAATGGACTGCACAATAAAGAGGCTTGATCATCTGCATTTATAAGTTCTACAAAATCTTTAAAATATTGAAGATTTGCAAATTGAGTAATTGTAGTAGAGAACCATTGATTTGGAGATAATATGTATTCTAGTGATATCTGCAAAAAGTAATAAAAAACTGTTTAGTAGTCAACAAATTTATTCATATACTAATTTAACATAATTTTTTAGAAACTGACTAATTTTGTTCATGATGATGAATAACATTTTAGAAACTGCAACTTCATGAAAAAAAAATTTAGTATTATATCTATACTATTTGAACCATTGTGTTTTGTATTTGATGTGAAACTGTATATATATATATTGTGATGGAAAGGATAATTGGTTACAATTGTATGAAACTTTATGATATTTTTATAGTTTCATATTAGAAATATAATAGTACAATATATAAATCGAAACAACATAATTTGAACTATGATTGATATGTAGTTTGAATAAATAAAATTTGTTAACTTTAATATTTATGCAATATATTTAAAGAAAAAATTATACGAAAGTTAAAATAAATCAAATGATAGTTAATAACTATATGTGTATAAAACATAGAAAAACGAAAATTTTGATTAAGTTCATTATGTTCACCTTTAGATAAAATGAATTTATATGTATAATTTAAATAAATAAAAATGAAGATATGTATGTTTGTGAAAGGGTTTTTAATTAAAAAAAATAATGGTATAATGTAATTGAGAATTATAGTAATTAAAAAATTAATTAATTAATTAAAAGAATTTTTTTTGATGTTAATAGATTATTGAAATTTTTTACATTAGACGTGGTAGTTGATCGTAGAAAAGAAATTATATTAAATGTGTTAAATTTGTATTTTTTTTGAAGTACTAAATTCAAGAAACTAAATTTGTATTTTTTTGTGAAAGGGTTTTTAATAAAAAAAATTATGGTATAATGTAATTGAGAATTATAGTAATTAAAAAATTAATTAAGTAAAAGAAATATTTTTTGATGTTAATAGATAATTGAAATTTTTTACATTAGACGTGGTAGTTGATCGTAGAAAAGAAATTATATTAAATGTGTTAAATCTGTATTTTTTTTGAAGTACTAAATTCGAGAAATTAAATGTTATAATTAAAAGATTAAAAATAAATATTTAACAAGGAATGTTAAAATATATTTACCCCTCGCATTTTATTTTATTCTTGAATATGGAAATTTGATATTAAAATTCTAAATATAAAAAATGCATTTTTGAGTCGAATTTAGGAAAAGAATATTATTATTTAATGAAAGTAAAACTTTATTCTTGAATATGGAAATTTGATATTAAAATTCTAAATATAAAAAATGTATTTTTGAGTCGAATTTTGGAAAAGAATATAATTATTTAATGAAATTAAAAGGGTTACGAAAAATTTTAAGATGACTGGTTATATAATAATTTGTATTTATTGTAAAATATTTTTAATTTTATAAATAATGAAAGATGAGTTTTATATTATAATTTGTATTTATTGTAAAATGTTTTTAATTTTATAAATAATAAATTTTTGGGTATAATGTATTTTTTTTTATTGTAACGTTTTGGAGACACTCCGCGCAGCGCGGAGCATAAAGGCGCCAAGATCACCCCGCGCAACCCGAAGCGATCTCTGCGCAGTCCGGAGCGTGGTCACTCCGAGCAGCTTGGAGTGATTCTGCCGAAGGAGTCGTGCTTTCTAAATTCAAATTTTTCATGTTCTTCGAGTTATTAACAAACTTGAGATTTAGTAAATGTTTTTCGAGATATTAACAAACTTGAGGTTCAGTAAGAGGAGTTGTTCAACAGCTAGTGATAGATTCAATATTTTTTGGCCAAATGAAAATGATTGAGATTTGCATGAATAAGTTTTAGGTTTTATTTTAGCTTTAATATTCATATTATTGAAGAATTTGTTGGCTGATGAATTTGTATTCAAAATATTCTTTGAACTCCTCTACATTTTTTCTTATCCCAAGACATGGTGGAAGTGATGGATTGCATGCGTTCATTTGTTTGACTATGTAGTGACATACATGGTATGTTATACTATTCATGTATATAATGCAGATTAAATACTTGCAGTAAAGAAAAGTGACACATAATTTTCCATGATTTTCCTAATATAATAGAATTGATAAACCACATATTCTCTATACGATAAATATATTCAAAATTTATTTTCATTGGAAAGAAGATTACCTTTCTTCCTGGTGGTTGAACTTAGTTTCCTTTTGAGAACTTTGAAAATTGAAAGAAAATGTTTTTGAGACGTGTGAAATGGTAGTGAAAGGATGGTTAAATAGTTGAATATGGGTAGTTAAATGTGGGTAGGTAGTATTTTGAATGTTGGTTAGTAAATGTGGATAGGTAGGTTTGGATAGTAGTTTGAATGTGGGTAGATATATGTTGTTAACTACAATGTGAGTAGTTGAAATGTACAAATGTTTCATTTACAATTTATTTTTTTCTCATTTTTTATTTTAATTAGAGAGAATATTTTTTTTTTGTTGGTGTTTTTTACTTATGAATTATTTTCTGTTTGTTCTGGATTTTGTAAAATCGTATTTTTTTCCGTTTATTTATATATGTAGAAGAGAGAGTTTGCATGAAAAGTAAAATTATATGTAATTGTTGATGTAAGTTTATGAAAATATTTATTGAATGAAATAATTGACGGTATAAATTAAAAAATTTGTTTAAAAGTTCATTTAAAAGCGAGGTAAGTAGACTTTGTTGAATAATTACAAAATGAAAAATGTGAGTATATTGAACTTATGTTTTAAGATATGTAAAATTGAAGAGGAAACTATGTTTAAGTAATAGATAAATTGAAATATGTATTTAAAAATGCTGTTTTTTATTCATAGTAAAATGATAGGATATAAGTGGTTAAACTGTTGAAGGTAGTACGTATCTTGTTGGGAATTATCATGTTACATAATTCTTTCTATGTGAAATCATTTAGATCAATGAAATTAATTCTTCCTTTATCATATGTTATAATTATTAAGTTTATAAAAAAAGAAAATACTTTATCGTAACATAGTGTTTTCTTGATGAATTAAATATTTATATTTTAAAAGAAAGAAGAGGTGAATTTAGTTTTTTACAAGCATGCAATTAAAAGAAAATGAATAAATTTATATTTTTTTATTTTGTTAAATTATTTAGTTTTTTTAACTAAAAGAGAGAGTTTGCACAAAGAGTACAGTTATATAAACGATATAATTAATTACCAATTAACTATATAAACGAAACAGTTTGTTTAAAAGATTATTTAAAAGCTAGGTAAACTTTATTGGAACAAAGAAAAAAAGAAATTAATTTAAAAAATTAGAAAATGGAAAATGCAAGTATATTGAACTTGTGTTTTGATTACGTATTTGATTAAGCGAAATTGAGGAGGAGATAATATTTAACTAATAGATAAAGTAAAATATATGTATTTTACACAACTATTCTTTATCGATAGCAAAAGAAGTTTTATATATTAGTGTGAACCACGGGTCGAGTACAATTCTATGATTTCACAGTATTTACATTTTTAACAACAAAAACATACCAAAATATCTAAAGCAACCTGTTCTATTTAGAAACCAAAATCATATAATTGAATCTAAGACTCATTATTCTACTGGAGATTTATAGATTATAGGTTGCTTGTAGAATCACAGAAGTGTCTACTGTTAGATTGTCTATTATCCCAAAACAAAACGAACATGAGTTGAGGGTTTATCCAGAGCTAAGGACATCAGCATCTTCAACGTGTTTATCAGTCTTCATTTTCTTCTTGGAACGAGTTTCGATTTTTTGGTCTCGAGTTTGAAAGAGAGCCCTCTTTGCATTTGGTGCAAGCACTTCGTCGGCGTTTGTAGAATCTTGATTATCTGTCATGCACATCTTCTCTTTACTTTTCGTAGATGTTTTGTTTGAACTATCATCAGTTGTTACAAGAGAAGAATCCAATTCTATGATTGTACTTAAGAATCAATGTCAGTTGTTGTTGAAGAGTTGAATATGAAGATAATTTCATATCGGTATTCAGGTGGATTTTGGCTTTTTGGTGTTACTTTTAGGTAAAAAAGCTGTTCTTCTTCGTTGTTAGTTCTTATGAGATTTTTTAGTTGTGTATCCACGTCCTGAAATATTAAAATTATACTCATTTAATATGATGAAGTAAATGCAAATAATTATTAAAAATTTAGTAGTATTTGGAGTTAACCTTTTCAAAATGGTTCATAATTTGGACGGCATTTGCTTCCAATAAAGTTTCTGCGGTTTCTCCTATTATGGTTGCATCCAAGCCTCCAGAGTTGTCTTCAATATGTACGAAAGCAGTTACCCTATATAGAGAAGTTAATTAAATTACATAGTAAGTTTTGTTAAATGAAGTGTTATTTTTAATAAATAGTTAAATATAGGTTTAGAGTACATGTTACCTTGGTATTGCTTTTGCATGTTCAAATTTGCAGAAATGACACTTATGA